ATAAACTTACATTTTTCAAAAGCAACAATATTTACTGAAAATGGTCAATCAAATCTTAGCCTACACATTAGAAGTATTAAAGGCATACAATTCAGTGGATTCAGAGTGGAAATGTGTTATTGGCTGAATTGTGTCTTCCTCCAAATTTATGTGTTGAAGCCCTAACCCCCAGGACCTTAGAAGGTGACTATGTGGAGACGGGGCTTTTAAAGAGATGATTAAAGTAAAATGAGGGCATAAGGGTGAGGCCCTACTCCAGTATGACTGGTGTCCTTACAGGAAGAGGAAGAGTACTAGGGAGGTACACGCACAGAGAAAAGGCCGTGCGAGGGCACAGTGAGAAGGGAGCCATCTGCAGGCCCAGGAGAGAGGCCTCAGGAGAAACAACCCTCTTGGCACCTTGGTCTTGGATTTCCAGCCTCCAGAACTGTGAGAAAATAAATTTCTGTTGTTCAAGCCACACAGTCTGTGGCATTTTGTTATAGTGGCCTTAGCGAACCAATACAAAGTGGAAGAGATCACAGAGCATTAAAAAATGTTTTCTATTCTTGCCCTATCACTTTCAGTTCTTTTCTTTCGCCCCCATCAGTTGCTTTTGCCACATCAGTGAATTTCTGGTGCTCGTCTTTATCCATGTTTACCACCTCTATCTATGTCAAGCTTAATATCCTGCTTTTTCATCTACTTTATACTCTAACACTAAATGTTCAATTTAAGGGCCCATTTATAATCGGTGATTTTTTTAATAGTAAAAATCATTATTTTACTAGTATAAAAGATTTTCTGAGGACTTCTAACAATTTTGTTTAGGATGAGAGGGAATTTTATACCTATAGCACTATCAATATCCTACAACATCAACAGATGTTTATTGGACACCTGCTGTGCACCAGGCACTGTGCTGGGTGCCAGAGGCATGATGATGAGCAAGTCAGAGAAGGTCCCTGCCCCGTAAGGGGAAGGTAGACAGTAAACCAACCAACCAACCAGGCAATCATTGCAGTTATGGTAAGAATGAAATAGATAGTATATCATGATAGAGACTAATACAGGATACCTAGGTGGGGAGGTACTTTTAATCTGAGATTGGAAGCCAGAGAAGGAGCCAGTGCATGCGTGTGTGGAAGGAGAGGGCAGGGGTAAAATGGGGAAGAATGTTCTAGGCATAGAGAAGAACTAGTATAATGGTCTTGAGGCAGCTTTAGGAATTGTTTTTAGGAACTGATCAAAACTCATGTGACTAAGTATTGCGATTGAGTGGGGGGACCCCCTGAGAGCTAAGGATGAGAGATGGGTAGGCAGGGGCTAGATCACGCACACGCTTGTAGGCCACGGTGAGGCATCTGGTTTGTAAACTAAGTGCCATAGGAATCTATTAAAGAGTTTTAAGCAGGCAAGCCAATAAAAATCTAGACTTCATAAATGAAACCCAGAAGTAGGCATCAAATGCACAATTTCTTATGTTTGAAGAAAACATAGAAGCAAAACAAATTTTAATCTAGTTATGTGAGATCAGGAGTCAGTAACTAAATGACAGCAATTGATCATGACATGGAAGTACAGACTAGCCTTTAACTGTACCCCCTCCCTCTCTTTCCAGGGGGTCTTTTCAGAGTTGAGAGAAATATGCCAGAAGCTTCTGAATGTTAAGTATCAAGGATATAATGACAGTAAGATTGGAAGTTCTGGGCTGGTTTCTGACCCTTTGGTCTGCCTGCTGCAGCCAGTCACTATAAACCACTGGCAAGCCCAGGCACTGGATAAACTTTAGGGAGGGCAGAAAAAGCGCTCACTGTATTACATTTTGAGACGCCTTCTTCCCCATTAGAGAAGGTGCTCGAAAACCATTAAGGCTTTTAAAACTTCACTGAATTAGGAAGACAGCAGGAATTCTCCCCTGAGCTACAGTTCATTTATTTGGCTTATCTGACATGAGAACCAACAACGACACATGGTCTTTAATTTAGCGGCAGACTATTTACAAATGAATCGGTTTCCCATTGTGTTAAGCAGTTAGTATAGGGAGAAAGCCCCCACACAGAGTTAATCAGAAGCATGTATGAATAATTAAAAAAACAAAGCTTTTAATCAAGAACATCTATTAGATTCCTGTTTGTAGATCATCTCATGAAAGGTGCACAGACAGGGAGGCTGAGGAATAGGTGTGGAAAATAGATGGGACCCGGGTCAGAAGACCTGCATGCAAGCCCTTGCTAGCATGTGACCTTGGATAAGTCACTTAACATCTCTGAGTTGGCATTTTCTTATCAGTGAAATGGAAATAATAATATCCAACCTTACAGGGCTTTCATGAGCGAATTGAATATTGTGTGGGAAAGGGCTCTGAAATTTTTTAAGTGCTTCCTAAATGTAAAATTTATTATTCATATTCTGGCTGCTGTGATGAGATACAAGAGACTGAAGATAAAATTATTGCCCTTTTGAAGTTTACAATTAAAATGAGAAATCACAATGTATGGAACTAAATACATAAATGGTAACTTATTAACAACCACCATTCCTATTACTAGTATGTGCTCAAATATTTGTTAAAATGAAAGAAAATAATATAGTAGAATATGCAACTTCAGGAAATAGATATGTGGTGGATGCAGTGTGGAGGAGTGCCCAGAAGAGCTTTCTGGAAGGCATGTGTTTAGGTAAGTTTTATAAGAGGCGATATAGCCTAGTGGTTATGAGCTTGGGATCAGGTAGACAATGGTTAAAATCCCGGCTCCACTGTTGAGTTGCTATGTGACTGTGGGAGAGTCACGTAAACTCTCTCTATGGATACCTTTACCTATCTGTAAAACGGGGATGATAGTATTTACTCTACAGGCTTACTCTGAGGACTAGGGGAAATTATGTAAATAAAGCTTTTAACACAGTGTTTAGCATGAGGCCAGCGCTTTAAACAATGGAGCTATTATGCTCATTACCATTATATATCTCACCATAGTTGAATGATGGTAAAGCACTCTAGCTATAATGCTGATAAAGGAGGTGAGACATCACTGCATTACTTCTATAATCACGGCAGGTGTGGGGCATTGCTGTGATCTAATTAAACAGAAAGGAAAGGGAAGGAAAAAAGGAGAAATTTGAAAGAGAGGTTGGAATCTTTGAAGGACAGAAAAAGGCTATGAGAAATATGGAGGGCAGCAGCTATTAAAACACAGTCTGCTTCATTGATCAGTCTTAAATTCTGCTTTGTTTTCAAAATACAAATCTCATCTAGCTTTCATCAAGTAGATGTGAGGTGTCTCTGCTAAGACAGGTTTACGGTCTTAAGTGACCATCAAGTCAGTATGATTTATCACTTGAGTAGGGAAAAGGGCTGGTAGTGACAAAGTCTGAGCATTCCTCTTTGGAGATTTCTTTGTTACAACTTTAATTAAGAAAAGGTCAAAGAAGAGTGGGTAGAAATAACCAGAGTGTGCTTAGAATTATGGGGGAGAGGACTCAGTGTGCGATCACATCACTGCCTTCAGTCATGATTGAATCTATATCGATTACATTCTTCTTTGAAGATTACCAATACATTTTTTTTTTTTTTTTGTAATTCAGTGTTTAGTTCTATTTCAGCTGCCGTATAACATTGGGGAGCCAAACTCATTGGGAATAAGATTAAAGCTATCACTCTTCCCACTTGCAGTTTTGAGAGGTTGAGATGCGAGAAAGACGAGAAACTGTTGGATCTACGAGCTCAGAAAATTTGAACAAAGATGGGCTTAGCTGAAGAGTGCATTTTATTGCCTTAAAGAGTAGGATGTGGTATAAAATTAAACTAGTAGGCTGGTTACATATTTTTAAAGGTACCAATTAAAATAAATATGTAACTATTAAAACAAATAAATGTTCATCAACGTATCACCTAAAATCATCTCATATACTAATTTTGCAAAGATAGTTCTCAGGTGTCAGAAGCAGGAAACAGTTCAAGGCAGGAGAGTTCTCGAAACAAAGTGGCTAACAATACCAAGTGGTGAGGGCGATGAGGACAGAGCAGTGGCCATTATGTGTTTGAGGGATGCTTTCTGTGAAGTAGCAGAGGAAAAGGGTCAGCTGTTTTAAAGGGAATTTAACCTACTGGCTCACTTAATAGTTATAACTGCAAAAAATCCATGAGCCCTTAGTTCAGAGAAAATTAGAGTTATTAAGCAAAATTGAAATACTTCTAAGGAACTGGTTTGCTGAACGTGTTTGTAATATAGTAGTCTAAACTAGGCTGAAACAAATGGTAAGTATATAGTCTGTCCATTCATTTTCATTCAAATTGCAAATGTACATTTATTATTAAAACCAAGTAACTTTAACCAATGGGAGGAATCTCCTATGTCATGTCACAATTAAAATAGAAAGAGAAAAACTTTATGAACGCCTTTATCCTGGTACATAGGGCTATATGAATGCATACTTTTAACACATCTGAAGGTAAGTTTTGCATATTCTTGGACTTGAAAGCAAGCTTTATCAGATGGCTACCCAGAAACATTTGTAAGTAACAGAAGAGCAGAGAGACAATTTCTCCCATTGTTATCATTGTTAAGGGAATGATTTCCATGGTATGATCCCATCCCATCGCTTTTCTTCTTTTTCATTTCTATCTTAAGTGAATGGAGCATTGTTCAAATCAGGAGAAACATCCATGTCCTTGGCATAAGACATCACCATTGTGCAGTAATTGGACACGGCTCATGTAACACAGAAAGGACTGGTGGGACCCAGAGTCCTGTAGCCACCTTAATGCTAGGATTTAGCATGGCATCCATTTAAACAAGTTGTCCTTTTAACTAAGATATAAACAAGGATATGAATTCTAGTACATTACTGGGAAGTATCCAAACTAACGTAACAAAAGATGTCTTAAATGAATTAGTTAAAAAGTGCCTGGTGACATCTGTGGCATCCAGTTACTTTTCCCCTCGCTGAGACTGCTTGTCAAGACATCAGACTGTTCCCCTCTCTAAGGACAGTCTAGCAGCCAAACCTGCACTAACCATGATGGGTTGTTCCGGAGCATGTTGACATACAACCCGATGAGAACATGTTCATCAGCTAGCCTGTCTGCCACATTCAGGCTGTATTGTATCCTGAAACAGGGCAGGAGGAGAGAAAGGGTGTTGTTAGGAGAGGCAGACAGAAGTAAGCAGAGCAGGTAGGAGTGAGTTCGTGGTGGGAAAGGCATTTAGAAAATCAACCAAATAAAGGAAAAATAAGTGATGTTCTGTGAAAAGCACAAGCAAAATTCAAGCAAAGAAATTCACAATTCTATTTCACTTACTTTAAAAATAAAGACTTCCATTTAGGAAAAGTTACTTTTAAGAGAAAAGATTTGCATTCTTCAAACCCCTAAGGCCAAGGAATTCATCTGTACAGTAAACACATTGAAACGGGTTGCAAGCAAAGATTAAGTATTCTTTGGAAAATCAAATCTGAAGCTTAGTCATTTTAAAAAAAGAAAAGGAAATAAGGAAAAGTGGAAAACAACACAGATGTGTCTACTTAAAATAACTACTTGGTGCTGTTAATGGGGTTATAAGAGAGCTGCTTTTCTAAATCAAAGATGGTCTTTCAAACACAAAGCATTTTTGACAAAAGAAATCTCCATTTTTAGTCTTGTTAATTCAGGGTTCCAGAACACTCTGGCTTTCACTTACCCTTTGCCCTTCAGAAAAGCTGGAGCAGCCCTAGCCAGCAGTTTGTTCTGCTCTACTTCACTGTCCTTGGGAGGAGAGCTAGTTAATAAGATGGGAAAGCCAAGAAGAGCGTAAACACGGCAATGCATTCAAGAATAGAAACTGGCAACAGAAACTCCCAAGTCTAGATCCAAGCTCCATTTGGACAGCTCTCTTATTATTTTGAAATGTTCAAGATGTTTTCAGATTTCCACAGAATTGAACTAGGAATAGAAACCTGGCCTGAGAACCACAATTACAATTACATAAGCCACCATGATCTCAGATTTGACCTCTGCTATGTGCTTAACAAATAGATTGTATATGCCTAGACATAATGAAAACTCATTCAATGTTCATTACAGACTATCACATAAACAGTCCAATAGTTCACTAAGTCCTGCCAGCCTTTAGATCCCACTTAAGAAGTTTACTTCTCCAGCCTTCCCTATGTTCTAACTTTCTGTGTTGAATAGAAACTTGAAAATTACCTAGTTAGAGATTGCTGCCATATTAGCAGTACCTTACCTCAAGCACAAGTCAGCTGACTCTGACTGTGAAGCCGCAAAGACGACTTTCAGAGAAACAGAAAAATAAACCTTCGAGCCTTATAAATATACAATCATATTCCTTGTGTCTATAACTGGTGAATAGAGTCCCATCAAGATAGCAGATTCTTGTCATTTTAGACTCAGTACGAGGAACACTCATTTGATTTAGTAATTTAAATGACAGTTTTGAAGTTTAAAATGTAGTTTTATTAAAGGACAAATAGAAATATAGATAATAATTAATAAAGTGTGGCCAAGGCAAAGTCACCCAAGATCTACTGGGCATGCTTCACTGGGAAATATGGCGTTGATTCTTAGTATCACAGTTGTACCTGTAACGTGCTTAAAGACAGCTTGCTCCTTTGCAGGTTAAGAATTTGCCCTGCAACACTGGTCTACCTAAAACTATCAACTCTGCCCTACCCCCACCACAAGAATACAAAAATTAACTGTCTTTGTTTGAATACCAAATGTTTAATTATTGGCATTAAAATTACGAGAATTTACCATAAACTTTCCCAACTTTTCAAGAAGTTCTAAATATTATATATATATATATATACAACATGATGTACATGATAACAATGTACAAAACCCCAGAAATTTATAAATGAATAGCATATTAGAATTATGCATATAATAGGAATTCTTATTTTATAATACTATATACAAGACTCCTTAAGTAGTGAGGTTTTTGATAAATTTAAAATCAAATTTGATTTATAAAGAAAATGTCTAGCAGAGAGTAGGCCCTCATGTTTCTTGAAAGTATGACTTCACTTGGCTTTTCAGGAATGCATCTGTTACACAAAGTACTGCTGTACTTAAAAAGTACAACTGCACACAAACAAAATTGCCTTTAAAAATGAAATTATTAATATTCTAGGAGAATTTACTTTCCTGATGATTTTAGTGATTTATTTTTAGCATACTGATTTCCACCTTCTAAGACTATGGAAGCTGCCCATCAGGACCAAATAGACATCTTAAGTCATCATAGTTGATGTTTTCCCAACATCTCACGGAAACAGCATTCCAAACCTTGTCTCCTGAAGCATATCCCTCTGTGTTCATTAACCAGTAACTACAGTCTCCCTGCTGCCCAATTACCTCCCCCCAACTTGTTTTTCATACTCAAGATTGAGGTACCTACTACATAATTGATTTCAGATGCCTGCAAAACTCAAAACCCTGTGAAATATCAGTGATTCTAGCCTCCAAATTAAACTACTTCCCTGCTTTGTTATGCTTTTTTGCCCCTTGAATCCCAGAAATTGTGGTGATAGTTCCTTAAATTAAAAGCCTAATAAATACACAGGTACAGGTACGACCTCTGATGCTGAATACACAGGAAGAAAGAAAGGATCAGCAGACAAAAGAAACACAAGAAGATCAACCAGAAGGATGTGTTTGCTCCAAATTTCTCTGGTGAAGACTTGTGGGAAGAAGGCAATGTGTCAATAAAGCTCCAGAAGTGCCATCCTACCACCTGGTCACTAGTACTAGCACTGGGGAAGCCTTGCTGACATCAGTGTGATGTAGGGGCTGGTGGTAGGAAGGGAGCAATTGCCCAGATTTTCCTTTGGTGGCCTTATTCTTTCTTTCTCTCCAATTCATTGGGCCCCTCTCTCCTTCCTCTACTTTATTTGCCTGTCTGCCCTCTTCTTTTTCTTCCTTCTTCTTCCCGAGTCCCTTCTTTCCTCAAGGGAATGGGCAGATATTCTATGCAGACTCATTTCTTTCCCTTTTATTGTCAATGTCTTTCCATTGGCCCTTGACAGTGTTGCTTTAAACTCTTTCACGTTCCTTTCCCTTCCCACATGAATTCTTGAGAAAACCAATTTTTGGAAAATATGGGGATTACACTATCTGCATTTATGAGTCTGTGGAAATAAACCATAATTTCATTTTGCTATAGCTCTCAATTTCTAGTCCCAGAGCATTTCCAAGTTTTGGTACTCACTGTCCACAAAGTTTCTGTACTTCCCAAACTAGCCTCAAATTCTTCTCCTCATCACCTATTTCTGGGAAGCCAAAAATATGACCATGTATAGAGGAAGCCAACGCATGACAAAAATAAGAAAAAAAAGCCGCTCTTTCAAAACAAAATGGATCAGGAAAACTGACCGGGAGGCAGGTTTCACTTAAAACTTGGGTCTATAAAGACTTCTCATGTCAAGTATCTTCACCAGAATTTCTTTAGCAGCTCTTAAAGAGCTTGAAGAAAGGAAACAAAGTGAAAAAATTTTCTCCTGAGTTGTTGTGAAAATAGTGACAATATGTAGTTTATTATGATCTCTTCAAAGCAATGTACTCACACAATATTTTATAGAATAATTTAGACTTTTAAACTTTCATTTTGTAGCACAGTAGTCGCTTGGAGAGTCAGGTGATATTTCCAATTCATGTGGCCTTTGGGATCAAGCACATGGGAACCTAAGACCCTATTGAGAAAGGAGTGCGACCGGCATGTCAGTACGTCAGAGTGCCACGACGGCCTTCTCCAAACTCAAGCTCTAAAATCTTCTCCATCTTCTACTTGCCCTGTCTTCAAATTTAAATGCACTCTTCCTTTTAACCTCTGAAACTGGGAACTAGTTGGGGATCCTCCTGAGCATGGGTGATAAATCTTTTCTAATCTGAGTTACAAAGAGAAGCAAGGCTACTATCCTTAAAATTCTATGTATATATATATATATATGTATATTTTCTTTCTTATTATTGTCAATTTCTTTTCACTAGGCCCTTGACAATGTATAAGCACATCCCTCTGCATACATATTATCATTATTGGTGTGATGACAATCATTACCTGAAGGGTATGAAAAGGGAAATTTTGAAGTTTTTGGGTTCTGCTGAAAGAAAAGAGGCAGGAAATATTCCTTTAGACTATTTTTTTTTTCCTAAACAATTCTCTATTTTCTCACCAATTCCTTTTTTTTTTTTTTAAGGATTTTTTATTTTTTTTTTCCTTTTTCTCCCCAAAGCCCCCCGGTACATAGTTGTACATTCTTCGTTGTGGGTCCTTCTAGTTGTGGCATGTGGGACGCTGCCTCAGCGTGGTTTGATGAGCAGTGCCATGTCCGCGCCCAGGATTCGAACCAACGAAACACTGGGCCGCCTGCAGCGGAGCGCGCGGACTTAACCACTCGGCCACGGGGCCAGCCCCTCACCGATTCCTTTTTAGACCTCTGAAAAATAGCTTATATAAAGATAAATGGCATTCTTCCAATAGTTTTCATGCACACACACACACACAATGACCCAATGGGTTCTAGAAGGATAGAATAATTTCAAAACATTTTATATTTATTTATTTAAATTCATCCTTTAGTTCGGAAGAGTGAAACTGATGCCAGTATTTTTGTTTAAATGTAAACATTTTAGTGGTGTCCTAAGGTGACAAAATCATACAAAAATGCTCCCTGGATTTTTGCTTAAACTGGAAATACATTTTTAAAAACCACTTTTGCTTGTTGGATTACTATATTAGCCCTGATCAAAGATTTCTTTCTTTTACTGAATATGAAAGTAAAAGGATTTAAATAAAAGTCTTGGATGCAGTCTCACAGAGCAATAATATTATATAAATAAATTATGTAATGTGGAATAATTATCATCACAATGGCTAAATGGAAAAAGATATTTGAACCATGGCAAATTAAAAACAGATATTTTCACTTTTATCAATTCTTAAATAATCGGTATGTTTGTGTGGGGTTTGGGCTTGTGAAGAATGGCTTGTAAAGTTGGCTCCCTCCTCAAGTAACTGTCAATTGTGAATAACATTTTGCTTCTCACTATAATGAACACAGTCTAGTAACAAGGTCATCAAACTAATTTAAATACAATAAAAGAGTCCACAAGTCCGTTTTGTCAAGAGATAATTTCTTAAAAAATTCTCTTTCCGGGGCTGGCCCCGTGGCAGAGTGGTTAAGTTCGCACGCTCCGCTGCAGGCGGCCCAGTGTTTCGTTGGTTCGAATCCTGGGCGCGGACATGACACTGCTCATCAAACCACGCTGAGGCAGCGTCCCACATGCCACAACTAGAAGGACCCACAACGAAGACTATACAACTATGTACCGGGGGGCTTTGGGGAGAAAAAGGAAAAAATAAAATCTTTTAAAAAAAAAAATTCTCTTTCCCTTTCTTTTTCTAGCTTTCAATATCTTAGATCTGAAACATAAAATATCTGCCACATGCAAAGCAGCAAAAAAGCCTAAAAAATAATCTAGTGTCCCAGGGGAAACCTAGTTGTCATCAATTCAGGCTGGCATGAAAGTCGAACCATCTTAAGCAGGTAGCATGGAAGAAACAATAAGAGTTCTTAGGTCATATTTGATTTACTACATTTACTATGTTGTCCTCCAGATATCACCAACCCATATCAATTGTATTTTTGCCAAGAGAACCTCTAGAACAGTTTACTGGGTACAGGGCATGCACAGACAACAGCTAAATCAACTCTAGTAAGAGAATAAAGGTTATTGAAGTGAAGAAGAAGCTGACTGTGGCTTTAATTATGTATTAACATTTTAGTATAGGAAATAGAGTTGAGTGTGAAGACCAGTGTAACTCAAATTTGAAAAAAATCTAGCATATTAGTGGATTTCTGAGGCTACATGGAATAAAGAATTATCTGCAGAGAGCGATTATTTCAAATTTCATGAAATTTCGAACTTGCCCGAAAAGTGTGAAAAGAACGAAGAAATCTTCAGGTGGCTGATTTACAAGTTTTTCTATTTTATGATGTTGATTTATAGACTTATCTATTTTCCTGACTGAAAAGGGATGGGTTTTAATCTTAGAGAAAATTAATCATGGAGAAAACTTTGATTTTTCAGAAGCAAAGGCTGAATTCAGTACCTCAATTTTATTTCTATTCACTTTAGATTACCAAAGCAAAAATGCTTAAAATTTAGTTTGAACATTTTAAGTTAGATTAAAAACCTGGGTTGTTAGGTAGAGAATCTTTGGTTAAGCAAAGTGTTTGGAAAAACGGAAAAAGACACAGTGAATTAGCCTTTCTGTGGTTGAAAACCCAAACCAATCAACCAACTGACCAACCAGTCAGCCAACAAAAATAACTCACAAATGCTGCCCCACTGGGAAGACTCAGGATTGGGGAGGTGCTTGGGGTGGGTGGTATGCCTTTCCCTTACGCACTATAGAGCTGAATATAGTATTAGTAATTAACCAAGTGTTATTGTGACAAACCAGAAAATACCGTATTTGATTGTATTCAACACATTCTATGAGTCAGAAGCAATTTTCTAACATTTGAGAGAGTGATAAGAACTGGCTAGATGCTACATAGAATAGCCAACTTGATTCCTTTTGTGAGTGGTTACTGCTTTAGAGGTTGTAACTGTAGAAATACCTGTGAAATCTTTAAGTGGTATTTCTGATATCGGAGGTAAAAGAAACTAGCCATTCAAACTTTCAGAGCATCCTTATTATGGCTAATGAAGAAGATGGCCATAATTAAAGAAATTTTTTTTACATAGGAAAGGACTAGTTAACTCTCTCACATAAACTAGGCAAGGATTTTGGCAAGATAATTAAGATTTTTCAAAATGGGCATGATGCCAACAAAGATAGCAGGTACTCAAAGGCACAATGCTATGGGCAGTGAAGGGTAGAAAGGGCCTTTTGGGCCTGGCTTTGTGTCAACACTTGCAATAATATTTGCAATAATGATGGGTTATCTTTCATAAGCTTAGATAATATTGCTGGCCCATCATACATAGCCCTTGGAGCTTTTTTCCTAGTGGTGGATGATAGATCTCCATTGATCCAGCCATTTTCTCCTATAAATTCATGTATTTATAAGAAAACAATCTAGGTTTGGGGATAAAGTTATGATCAAGAAAATGAATGAGGTGAATCAGTCCACGAATTTTGTTATTTGACCTACATTGTACCTAACTGCTAACCATCATTGAGCATACACACACACACATACACTCACACACACAAATACAGACTTCAAAAGGTTAATAAGGAGTGCCTTTGAGAATTTCCTTTTTTCTTTTAAGTCAGCAAAAAGGGAATCAAGTACATAGCTAGAAATGGATATAAGAACAGGGGATGTGACAGATGGCAGTGGTAACCAGAGTTATATACTCGTAAATCTGTGTGAGATAGATTACTAGGATGTTAAAAGACTTCAAAGATACACCCTAGTGCCCTTTGAAGATGAAAGGGGAATGCTTGTAAAGGACTCCAGGTGAGTAATGCCAGGAGTTTGTAGCGAGGATTCTGGAGTAGTGATTTCAATTAATCTCCATCCTGCTTTATCTTTCTAAGATCTGTCACAATACAAAAGACTGAGAACTCAGGGTAAAGAAAATATCTGCATGGCAAACTTCCCTACTTTCTCAATGCTGCCTTAACACTGACCAACTCTGTTCCTGGCTTGTTTAGATTTTAGGTTTTATCCTATTTTAAAAGGGGCGGTTAGGCAGGTAGGAGTGAGGGCAGAGCTCTAGGTCTTATTTCTGTGGTTCAGTTCCAGTCATAGGAAGAACAGAACTTTTAACTCTCACCTACATTTGGCTTGATGGGTTTCCATCAACCTTAGCGTATGAGCATGGTTAAGAAATAAACAATGGATCATCACCAGGATCATAAAGTGATAGAAATTAAGCATTGATAGCATGAGACTCGTTTTGAACTTGCTACTTCAATGGGAATCAGACTGCCCTACCTGGGGGGGAAAATGGCCCAGGCCCATGGGGACAGAGAAGTAAAAGTCCTCAAGTCTTTTACTGCATTGTGGTCCAGCCATGTGACATTGTCCTGGCCTCAGTTAGTGCTGAAGATCATTCCAAGAGGCTCTTTAATTCAAGAGTCTAAGACATCACCATCTGGTGTACAGAAGCAGAGACTCATCCAAAGAGAAGATCCATCTCATATCTCATATATGCTGGCATGAAGACACGAAATAAAACAATTGGAAAAGAGAGGAAAGAGCTGAGATGGAACTGGAACTCAAGTTGGAACTTCTCGCAGACTCTCATGGAACCCCAGAAGACCTCTATCTCCACTCAGACATACTACAGGAGGATTTTAGTGATGGAGTAGAATGACTAGCAGTCTATCTATGGAACTACTACTACAATTAGTGATTCAGGGCTGGGATACTGACCGTGCGTGGTGGTCGAGCTGATTTACATACAGCTTTATGAGCGAATGCTCCTCAGCCACAGGGCTGGATGCACTTATCCCCTCAGGTAACCTGAGGGATTCAAACAATGAGACCTCATTAAAACCTCCCATGGACAGAGCAAGGCCCACTCAGAGAGGAGAGATGTTCAGTGTACACAGCTTTATTGAACAGCACCCTTAAAACAGAAACCAAGGCCAATCTCCAGGGTGACAGGAAGAACCGCAAACTTTAAACAACACGCCTGTGATTCACAGGGAACGTTCCAAAAGGACTGAAAATGGCAAAAAAAAAAAAGGGAAATGGTCATATTTTGGATTAATGGGTACCATGCACCCTGGAGGAACCAGAACAGCTCAAAGTATTATAGGAATATTTTAGAGTAGAGGAAGCCATGTTATCCATCTAGACGCATCCACCATAAGCACCGTCCGAGCTGAAATGATATAAAATGACCTTCAGTAAGGATGGGGTCTATCTCTGATTGACATTTGCAGAATGCAGAGCTTCCTAATAAAAGCACAACATCTTTCTTAACATCATGCCAGATCTTCCTTAGATACGTGCGCAGGCTCGTGTCTCTCCTAGACTTCACAGTTTATGATTTTGTTTTAGAAAAGATGGTTGCATTTGCTGGTGGTTCTGAAAACGAGCGCTGAAAGGAAGCTACCGGGGGCCCAAACTATCTTATTTCACTGTGGATGTTCTGCAGTTCGGTTGCCTCCTCACTGCCACTTATTATAGACTTGTTTAATTCATAGGAAGGAAAGACCGTGAACTGCCACATTCTGTTTATTCTGCTAATTACAATTTTGGGGAACATCTTCCTCTCAGGTTCCTGCTAATGGGCAAATACAGGAACTCAGAAAAAGTCAGCAGTGTTCTAAGTCTCACTCTCTTTAATTCCTCACTAGAATGAACCAGGCTATTACAGTGAAACTGGAACCTCAGAGACCTCTTCAGGGGAAAGACTGATTATGTTCATTTTGTGAAACTTAAGGCTGGTTTTGGTGTTTTTTTTCCTACTGAAAGGTATTTGAAATCTCTGTTCAATTACTGACTCCCATTTTCCTTACCTTTGTTCCTGCTTTTCTGTGAGCCTTCTCCATGTATTTATAAAACAATTCTCTGGTGTTTTATTTGTGATACTTGATCAAATGACTGGGAGCACCTCTTGATCCCCACATGTTTCTAACGCTAACACTTGGAAAAGTATCTGCTTCTCTGTTCTTTGCTCACATGGGAGTGGGTCTTGTGCAAAAACATGAGACACATATCCGCTTTTTTTTTTTTAAGTTCTTGTTATTATCCTTGATTTTACTTATGTGGAAACTACATGTCCAGGTTTGGTCTTCAGCCTGTAGCCTCAAGAACTCCAGAGTTCACCAAGAAAAGGATTCTTTTATATCTGGAGCTTTAAATTATGAGATGTTTCAGAAGTATATAATAATTCCCCACTGCATTTTGAAATTCCAATTTCCTGGCTTTAATGGACCATTCCAAGCACTATGAAAGTGACTTTCTCAGTGAAATAGAATGCATGTGTGTCAGTAGTAAAAGTTAAACCTATCCCATATTCTTACTGTGGGTGGATTGTAAATGCAAGTTTGCAGAAGTGACATTAATCCCCAAAACCATCCCACCTCTCTTCAAATGCATCCAAATGAATGAAATTGAAAACTTGTGACGGATATTTTCAATATAGTTTCCAACAATAATCTTCTGTGCTTGGCTTACACATGAATATTTTTCTTGCCATAGAATCAAGGCTCATTACCAAAGAGAGGGCTTATTTTATAATAGAATTGGAACTTACCTCCTGGTAATAAAAGGACTTCCTGAGGAGGGGACAGAGTGGGAGAACAGGGTGTCATTCATGCTGGTCACAGGTCTGGGTGGCCTAAAACAAAGTACAGTGTGGATGGAAAGTTAAAAGAAGTAAAAGGCACAAGTTAAAAACTATCCACCATCCCTCGAAGAAAGGGTTCTATCTTACCCAGGATCAACATGAAATTTTACATTTTCCAATTAAATTCTTTAAGTGTGTTGGGAAGTTACATTTCCTTGAGAATATAGAATCTCTGTTAAACATTGGGTGGAAGATCTCTGGACACCACAGGAATGTTCATCCTTGAGCTTTGAGCCTTGGCATTTTATTGAGTATGATTCTCTAATGGAGTCAGGATTTTGAGGCAGCCTCACATCTACTGCCTTCTAAAGGCAGAAGCTCTGAAAACTTGATGATAATTGGAATCTACAACCTCTTGGAAAGAGAAAAATTCCTGAGGCTTTGGGAACTTCCCCTTGTGGTCCCCATGATGATGGCCCTCTCCCAATATGCCCGGTAGGGAAGGACCTAGTTGCAAGATCATATTGTGTGTTATGTGCTCCTTGTTTTGCGAGAAGATGCAATTAAGCATCACAAGGTTTTACTGAGTTTCTGTTATCTGGATGATCCATATGATAGGGCACATGGTGCAAGGCATCCCATAAACTTCACTTTTTTTTCATACGATGAGAGAAAGAAAACAGGGTTCAATATTCCTCAGGATTGTCCACAGCCCTAAATCCCGACGATATAATCAGGTCTGCCATTCCCTGTCTTATTTTTAATTTCATCCTGTCATTTTTTACCTATCAGTAACGTCTTAGTCCAGATGAAATGACAGAACTCAGATCCCTATCTCATTTTCAAGTGGTTTTTAGACTTATTTTAGTTTCACTGTAAGATATTCCACGATAAGATGAGATGGGATTCAGAGTTCAGAAGATGGAGGATGAGGCAGGGCATCATTTTGAGTCAGAAGAAATTTTGGCACTATAAATCTATATTTGAATTTGACAATATAGAATTTTTTGAAGATGAAACATTAATTACAGGAGCCTATACAATTTATTTGTGTTGACTTGATTGAGAGCCAAACTTGTAATGGTTTAATTTTTATCTTAGGAAGCCAGAGTTAATCTGGATTCTACAATGAAGAGATTCTAGGAAAAAGGCAGACTTGTTTATGCCAATGACGGGAACGGACATGATGCTATGCGGGTTTTAAAATGTCAGCACCATATGCAAAAATTCATTGAAACTTTCGGTTCTGGGTACCTGGTGCTAAACTGTGTCCTAAGATTTTTAAAGACACATAATTGTTGGATGAGGCCAAAACAATGGGTTCACTATTTCATCTACTCTAAACATATTAGCTGAAGTTCTGAAAACTGTCTCAGTGTTTTGCATTATTTATCTAGGATGTATCTTTGATACGGGCTAATTTAAACCAATTCTGCCTTGAGCAGAAAACTTTCACTTTACAAAAAGGATGCTAATTTGTACAAAAGTCCTCTGTGAATTTTGAAAAGCTAGGTGTATCAGATTTTAAAACAATAAGCAGAATGAAATATCTTCATTGTGGCTTTGCAAAAAGTTGGAAAAAACCCCAACTTGACCAATATTTCTGGTTTTCTTTTGTCTTTTCAAAAAATGTCCCATCTTATTCTCTCTCTAGGATGTGAGAAAACAAGTGGATGTGGAATGCTTTTAACTAGCCTGGTAAATTTACTCTATTGAACCTGGTCACTGAAAAGCCGAATTTGTGGTTTCTTGTAAATGGCTTCAAGTTTACGCTTCACCAAGGAAATGTTGAACTTGGAGCAAAGAATGCTTAACCTTGGCACCAAATGGTGGCTTTCAAAGGGACTGAAGGTCCTATTTCCTCCATAATCAAACGGCATGATACTGTATCTAATAAAGAGATACCATATCTAATAAACCGAGGATTTTAAACATATTTATTCTTATGAGAATAGCTCCACAAAATAAAGTCACAGGGACCTTGTGCAAAGTTTTCTTTAAGGACAAGACCTTGGCTAACAGCATTTCTATAAAATTGGCATTCTTCTGGTAAACTGAAAGTGTTCAGCTCAAGAAGAATTATTGTTTTATTTTATTGGGCTCATATTGGCTACAACATTGTGTAAATTTCAGGTGTATATCAGTATATTTCAGTTTCTGTATAGACTGCATGTTCACCACCAACAGTCCAGTTTTTATCCGTCACCATATATGATGTGCCCCTTTACCCCTTTCACTCTCTCCCCACCCCATTCTCCTCTGGTAACCACTAATCTATTCTCCTTATGTCTGTGTGTGTTTGTTTATCCAGAATTAGTTCTGAACTAGCCTCAGGTCAGTCACTTGTTTTGTGTCTCATAACCACCTATTACTGTGATTATAAGTCTTTATAAGCACACTGGGGACTACTGAACTACTTACCAAGTATCACTTTTGTCAGCAAAAAAATAAATAGAATAGACTGTTAATCATGAGAACATTTACAAGCAATACAAAAGCTAAGAACAAATGCCAAAATATCAAATGTCCTCTGTAAGGTGGCCTTTATGTGCCTATGACAATTTAGAGTAGCTGAATGAACAGCATATTTTAAAATCAGAAGTCTTAAATATCTCCCTCCAAAAAAGCACACCACAGACATGGATATCTGTTCAGGGCCCTAACATTTGAATAAAGAAACAAATATAGAGAAAAATGTCTAAAGTTAAAAATAGAAAAAAATGCTCTGTTCTAACATAGACCAGACATTCTGCGTCCAGAATTTCTTGTATGTCATTTCCACAATTGAATATTTTGCACACTTTGCATTTTAAAATTAAGACATTCAACCTGGAAAAATATACTATCACTGAGTATAGATCAGTATTTTGATTAATGACTATTTTGAGAATCTAGTTAAACATACAGAACTTTTCTCAGAAAAAGGTACATTTTACATAGAATTTTAAGGGAATTCTGAAACTCTCCATGAACCTAAATTGTGTATAACACATCAGATCATATTGCCACTAAATTAAAATTGAAAAATTTTTACTTATTAGCCAATTAAATAACACACACACACACACACACACACACACACACACACACACCCCAATCCTGAGCACTGACTGGGTACAACACTCTGTGCCATGTGTACAACTGCCATGTGACTGACCATGAAACTGACTTCTATTTCACTCTGCCTCACTTCCGAACTCTGTCTCGAAGTGGGAGGCAGCATCCTAATTCTATTCTACTGCAAAGCTCTTAGGGCCAGGCCATTCACATCCACCTCTCTCAGTCTTCCTCACACCCATTAGCTCAGATTGAACCCTCTTCTCTTGGCATGAAATTCCCAGCTGGGCTGGTAGAAAGTGACTCCATGCAGAGCTCAGACAGCACGGACTTGCTCTCACTTAGTTTTGCTCATTAACAACTTAGTGATTGTCTCCAGCCATGGGAAGGAAAGCTGAGACCTTAAGAACAGCTCTTACATGAGGTTGCTTTCCACAAGTGGTTGGCCCTTTGGGACACTCCCCAGATTTATTTATCTCTGGTTTATTTTAAGGCTTATTTTTAGGAGCAAAATTTCTAAAAATAAGCTAACCACATTCTAAAGAATTGGTTTACATTAGTTATTTGGGTGCTTAGCCCATGCCAGCAGCAGGAGCCTCCAGACGGGGTATTGCTGAAGGTGCAGTGAGTTGTCAGCTCAGGAGCCAACCAAGCCGAGCCCCACAGTGTTTATACAAAGCTCATGGACATGCCGCAGCACTGGTTGCTGGATGGTATTTGCTTAGCTCCATCAGAAGAAAGAGGCACTGCTTTCATTAGGGTCTCAGATCCACCACAGTGCATCTTACGGGTCATATTCTAAACTGACCAAAGCATGACCTTTGCAATGGTGAACTCCCAATATCGGTGGGTCTGACCAGCCCATCTCTTGATGTCAACATGCAAACATAGGCCCTGCAGCATGGTAGATGCCTCTAAACTGTGCAAAATGAAAGACACCTCATAAGGAGGGACTCACCTATTTTCGAAGCTTTCCGAGGCACCTGTAACTACATCATTCCTAAGTGTGCGTGGAAGCAAGTAATGAGCTTCTTTCTTCTTCTGAGCCCAAGATAACACCAAGGAAAAAATATTTTCTTCTACCTAAGCCTCCCTATTTTCTTGGCCACCCAGGCCTGAGAGAGGCTCCAGGGCATGAGCCTTCTGGGAGGTCCTCTGGCCCAACCCCCTCTGCCACCAAATTCACACATACTTAGGAGAAATTTTTTTTAAGTCTGGTTTTGGATGTTCTGATGAATTTCCCCACCAACCCCCTTATCAACCTTCCCCTGCACAGGCCATAATTCTTGTAAAGTTATGTAGCTTGGGATAAAAAAAACCCCAACACAATTTCTAGGCTTGCTGACATCTTTAAGATGACTGGCTCTGCAGAGAAATGAAACAAAGGGCTTTTATATTTGGGACTCAAAGCACATATGATGTTAAGGTCCAGTGTGCTTTAAAGTTTTCTTACCATGGCAATTCCATTGATTATTAATGTCCAATTGTGAAAACTCTGCTAACATCCATATTTTGTAACTATGCTTTTTTGATTTTCCACCTTTAGGTGAATTACATTAGTGTTGCATACTTTACTTATATGACATTTGAGCAGAAGTACTGTAAACCCCTAAAAGAAAAAATTATGGCATTGCTTTCACTCTCTTTTTTGAAAATATTAAATTTTAAAACTTGGTCCCTGGCAACTGATACGAAACTGCCCTTGTATGGATCCAGACATGGGTCGATGGAGAAAGATGTCTTGTAATCTGGAGGGTAGAGATACTCACACGATGTGGGCCAAGTTGAGTGGCTTCTCGGGCTGGTCAGGAAACATGGGGTGCAAAGGTTCACGGCTGGAAGCACAGCTCAGAGACTTGCTTAACGCATTAGTTAGCTTCTTAGCGGGTGATTTCTGGAAAGAAGAAGAAAAGTCGAAGTGATAATAACTAACATTTACATAAAATTTTATCAGATGATTTGCTTTCACAGTAGATATTCATTCATTCATTTACTCATGAAATCCCCTTTGAGCATCTACTCTAAGTCAAGGAGTTTGCTCAGTGCTGGAATAAGCCACGAGGGTACTTGTCTCCTGCTTAGTGTCAGCAAATGCTGTGATAAATGGAAGAAGCCATTGTGCATGGGACATCTAACCAGGACTTAATGGGCCAGCAGGAGTCCTTCTGACAAAAACCAGGACTTAATGGGCCAGCCTAGGAAAGTGATTCCAGATGGACAAAGAAGAGGCTAGTTCTGGAGAGGAAAGCAGAAGGCACATCATTTAAGTCCTTACACGCCACATTAAGGACTGGGCTTCATCTCAAACACAGAGGGAGACAATTAAGAGTTTAAATTATAGAGGTGACAGGATCAGGCCTGATTCTAGAGGGATTGCTCCCACTTAAGGAAACGGTTTGTGAGAGGATGGGAGTGGAAGGAAGGAGACAAGCAGGAGGTTTTGCCGGAACCCAGGTGCAAGATGTTTCGGGTATGGCTGGACATTTCTAGTCAGAAGTAAAAGTGCAACTTCAATCTGAGTCTTTAGAATTTAAAATGCATGCTCCTTCCAGAGCATCATGCTACTTCTTTTTCATTTAGACTAGTGGAATGTTTATCTTAATATTTCACAGCCCAAATGATCAAAAATAGTCTACCACATATAATAAATCTTTACCCCAATTTTTCCTTTCCATGAGAACCCATTTATAATTTGTCATCTTCTTTTCCACATACAGTCTATAATTGGCAATATAACGGAGTGACTTTTGTCCTCATTATTCAAAAGCTAAGTAATAGCAGCATTGTTTAAGAAGTCTCTCTTTAGCCTTTGCTAGGAGATGTAATTCTTAGGATACTTAAAACAGCAGCAACAACCACAGCTCTTCAGCCCATAGCCACTGGGGCTTTGCCCTCTTGAGGAGTCTGATCCTACTTTGTATAGACATTGCCCTGCCATATAATTTTAGAGTCCACAACCCCTAAGAACGAGGCTCTTTAACTGACTGTGGCATTCACATAAAACGACAATTAAAAATGATTAGTCTTCAAACACCAACCCTCTAGGATTTTGGGTAGAACAAATTTGAAAGTTGGTAATACATTAACAATAAGAAAATAGAAATATTTTCTGCTATCTTCTATACTAAACTGTATTTCATGATCTGCGTTCTATATCTATTCTCAGCATGCACTGCACCATCAGTGAGGGGTGGCATTTGAACGGGCAGGAGGCCCTCAGTATATGATGGCTCAGTGAAGAGCTGTTACATAACTCAGAATCTGACAGGTGGCTAAACAATTAATATGTTTACACTGAATATCAGTTCCCAATAATAATTCCTAGAAAGAGTATTCTGATTTAAAATACATATTCTGAAGACCTCTTGTTCTTTTTTAAGAAAGAACAAGTTACTCTTTAAGTAAATACTATAGGTTGATTTAAGATACATTAAAATACAGAAAAAAAACTCATAAAAAGTTTGCATTTTCTTGTGATAAAATTATGCAAAGAGGTTTGGCAGGGCCGACAGTCCATCCCACAAAAACTAACCCGCACATAGCGTAATACTTTCACAAGCACAAGAACAAAATCACTGGAACTGATCTTTAAATTTAACTGAGACAGAGGTCAGCAACCTAAACCATTTGAGCAACAAGCTCACTAAGTCAAATTCCTCCCATAGACCCAGTGCCACACGCTCCTTAGAATGTATCCATCACATGGACAGACACACACGGTCACCTTTAGCAAGTTAGTCACTCGCTCTATTCATGACGAGATGATTTACTAATATAACCACAATTTCCTCCTCCTCCAAAAAAAGTAAAATGGAACAGCATCAATAAGCCCAGGAGCTCACACGTCTTTCCTTTATGTTCCAGTCATGCACTTAAGACAACTCCAGAATCTAAGAAAAAAGAAGCTAACAATAATTTTTTAAGCAATTCCCACAAAAAAAGAAAACCAAAACAAAACCTGGAAAGAACCTTGACTTACTGTGAAAATGAGATTATGTTCCAGAAGGTGCTTGCTGTTCAGTTGTTATCTAAATCAGTACTGAATTATCTATATTCCAAGAAGTAACATAGTTTGAGTCTTCCTGTATTTTAAGGTTCAGGAAGCTACATTAGGTTCAGATATAACAAGTAAGAGACCCCAGAAAGGTGGGGGTGGGAGGATAGGGAGAAGGAAGGAAGGTAAGAGTAGAAGGTAAGCTTGCCCCTTAATTCTGTCACCATCCTTGATATTCCCTTGCATTCTGGGCGACTCTCACACATCCAACAGTGGACCTTGCCTTACCCATGATGTGTACTCTTTCATTTGGTGCTGGTTGCTATGGGAACCACCGGCATGTCCTCTCCAGAAGCAGTCCTGACAGAGCTGGTAATTGTGACACTGTTGGCATCGGTAGCGAAATCCCATCATACTCTCGCTGTGGCAGTAGGAACACTCAACTGGATGGAAGACTAAGGGGGAAATAAATGAAGAAAAAAACAAGAAAACAAAAGTATGAGCCAGAATAGGAAAAAGGAAAGGCATTTTTCCGCTGTGTGCCATGATTTCAGATGACAGTCAATTTTGGCTGAGAGAAGTATCATGTTTACTCCTGGAATCTCACTACCGTTTTCAAGCATGTGTGTGCAAATGGAAGAAAGGAAATGGGATGGAGGATAGGTATTCTTGCAACAACAAATCTCTGCAATGCCATTTGCTCTTTCTACTTCCATTTCTTACACTACAAGAATATAAATTACCCAAACTGACTCGCCTTTCCCCAAAACTGCTCTCTGTCTCCAGGAGACCAGCACAGCTCACTGGGAGACTCAGAAGCACAACGATGAACACAGCTGACTGTTCAGTGGGTAGAGAGCAAATATTAGAGAAATAAAAAATGAGGAGAAAAAAGAAAGGAAAATGAAAGGAGAGTAGAAAAAATGGATGAGAGTACTGAGTTACTTTTTTAAAAAATGGAGTGGCTAATGAGCTTATTTAATGAGTGACATTGCCTCCATTTAACAGAGTTTTTTATTTCCTGAGAGGCAGATGGATAGGACCCAAAGAGATGTACAAATTATCTGAATACAGTTCTAATTCAGATCGTTCAAGAGACACTTACCTTTCTTTGGCAGTAAATTTGAATTATAAAGCAGCCAAGGTAAAATGTTTGAGATTTAAAACTAAGAAATGATCAAATCCAAGTAATTGTCCACATGCAATGAGCTAAAGATATTAAAAGCAACAACAACAATTCTTGCCTTTAGTAAAGTTATTCTCTGGCTAACAAGCCAGGGAAAATAATTAGAATAAGAATAATCAAGGAAGAAAAGCAAATTGTAAAAACAAAGATGTAAGCAGTCCTGGATGCACTGTCTTCTGAACAAGCGTCATGCCCTCTCTGTTCTGGCTCTTGGGAAAGCTTGGGGTGATACCCGAATCTAGGGACAACTGCTCCGGAACAGGGCCTATGAAACTGGTCTGCTGCAGCAGGAAATACCGAGAGAGAAGGAAGGAAATTATAACTTTATGATTGGAAGATGACTAGTTCTGGAATGGTAAACCAGAATATGAACTCATCCTGCAGTATCCGGACCTTGATTGCTCTTTGCTTCTGCAGATGAATAAGAAACATAAAAACAATCTATGATTGGTAGTGATTACAGAGAAACTAGTAAGTCCATTCTTTAAATCTCCACGAGCAAAGTAGGATAACTAAGAGGGATAATAAGGGCAGATGCTAAATGTTCTGAATGGGAACTTAAAATTAAGCTAACTGTAGCCCCAATGTATATTACAGAAATGTATAGAAGTTAAGATTCTAGGGGCCGGCCCTGTGGCCGAGTGGTTAAGTTCGTGCGCTCTGCTTCTGCGGCCCAGGGTTTTGCTGGTTCGGATCCTGGGTGCAGACATGGCACTGCTCATTGGGCCATTCTGAGGTGGCATCCCACATGCCACAACTAGAAGGACCCACAGCTAAAATGTACAACTATGTACTGAGGGGATTTGGGGAGGAAAAGCAGAAAACAAAAGATTCTAGTAAGAGATATGGAATAAATTATTTTCTATATAAGTCTGGAGAAATCTCAGAGTTAAACAATAAATAAGAAGATCTAAAGATTAGTTGGAGGCACAACTAATAAGTACAACCATTGAAAGCTCATGATTTGGAGCATATGACTAAAGATTAGCATGGTGCTGTCATCCAATTTTTCCCCTTCTCCCCCCCCCCCCCCGCCCCATTTCTAGCATAGTCCTAAGAGGAAATAGTCAGTGCCATGGATACCAATATTGGAAGTTCCTACCTAAAACAAATACTAGAAAATGTCGCATTCTTTATCGAGACTCTTCTTTTCGTAGCAAGTCTTTAAGCCACACCTGACTTGTCACTGAGAGGTAAACAGTGAAATTTAGTAAGTTCTTAGAACCAACAGTCCTAACTTTGCAGCGCACCTGTAATGCCTTACTGATCAAGGAGAGAGGTTAGTTCCATCAAAACTCAGGACTACTAATAGACTTCCCTAAAACAATGATGGCTTAGTAACTTTAGACTTGATGGCCTACTTTCAACAATTTAAACAATTGCCCTTGCTCAGTAGGAACTACTCACCATTTTCTACATTTGCCAGTCGATGCAGGAGGGGCAGCCAGACCAGACACTGTGGGGGAGGATCCGACATGAGCGTGTCCAAGAAACCATTTAAGGTGACTTTTTTCTGCATCAAAAAACCCCACGAAAATTTAGAACAGAGAATAAACTTAATTTACCTGCTATACAAATATAATTCGAGATTGAAGAAACAAGACATCCAACTACCTTTTAATATATCAAGAAATAGGACTTAAAACTAGCTCCAAATTGAAAACACTGATTGCTTTTCGCACTTAAGCACACACAGCACTGCATTCTCTCCACTGAGGCTGAGTCAATATTACCAGGAAGAAAAAGAATTCTGAGAGGATCACTTTCATATATGAGGAACGGTATGAAAATGATGAGGAAAGATGAAGAGTAGACATTCTCTATAAAATTTTACCCAACAGTGTGTCACAGCACACTCTAAAATTCTCATATCAGTTAGTCTTCTAAATTTGCAGAATAATTTCCTATTCAAACTTCCTCAGTTTCCACAAATACTAAATATTTCTTTGTGGTTAATGTGAATGGTTCTGCTGTATAAGATGAGGAGGGAATCCTGCTAGGAGGGAGAAATCCTTCACTGTTAGGAGAGAACAATCTACTTTTAAAAAACTCTCTTCTTTCCTTTCTTTATATATCTTTCCTCTCAATTCAGTCTGCTTCTGTCTCATCATCCTGGTCCTTTCTGGTGTAGAGAAAGAGTGTATTATAAGTTTCTTGCAAAATGACAAAAATAAGAAGTTATATTAATACATAACATTGTAATAGTATGAATGAGAAAAATTACGTGTTTATATGCAAAAACCACTATTTTATTTGAAATTTTGAATTAGAATATCAAGGTGAATGGTATAGTTTTATATTTTTATTTTTTGGAAAAATTTTTCCGAGGTAACATTGGTTTGTAACATCATGCAGATTTCAGGTGTATATCATTATATTTCAGTTTCTGTGTAGACTACATCATGGTCACCACCCAAAGACTAATTACCATCCGTCACCTTATAGTTGTGGTGTCCTATCACCCCTTTTGCCCCCTTCCCTCCTCCCTTCCCCTCTGGTAACCATCAGTCTATTCTCTGTATCTATGTTTGTTTGTTGTTGTTGTTTCTATCTTCCACTTATGAGTGAAATCATATGGTATTTGACTTTCTCCATCTGACTTATTTCGCTCAGCATAATACCCTCAAGGTCCATCCATGTTGTTGCAAATGGCAAGATTTCATCTTTTTTTATGGCTGAGTAGTATTCCGTTATATATACACCATACCTTCTTTATCCACTCATCCATTGATGGGCACTTAGATTGTTTCCAAGTCTTGGCTTATAGTTTTATATTTTCAGATAAGAAATCAGTCCTGAAGAGCTATAGTGCCTTTTCAAGGCCTATACCTTACACAAGTCCTTGTAATTCACAAAACAACTGCTTTGGTACCATTTAATTTATCTTGTTTTAATCAACAGATATTTGCAATTTTAGCTTTTCCTCATAATACTAAATAGCTTAAGCTTTTTGTAGGATTGATATAAAAATTATTATTAAAAGATATGTTATATAAAGACTAAGTGATGAGACAGCATTTTTTAAAAAGTTACCACAATTTACATATCTAAAATGATGCTGCCTTCCAAAACAATCACTTGGGGTGGCTTGTACATTTTTTCAGTGAGGCAACTCAGACAATTCTAGAATCTCATCATTCCAACTGCTGTTATAGCCAGTTTATGAAGCACAAAAATACACTGGTCTCTTTACCTGTGTTGCCTCTTTTGGTGCTTCAAATGATCTCATCCATTTCGATGATTCACCATTACTGGCTAGAAATCACTCTTGGAAGTTTCCAAAAATGTTATTATGATTTCAACATATATAAATTTCTCATCATTGAGGACATATAAAAAATTATATAATGGGACAGTCTACAGGATATTTCAAAAGGGATTTTGAGCAACGGCAACATCACATACAATTCTTTTTGAATATATAGGTCCTATTAAATTGAAAAAAATAGTCTTATTATTCTAGCTAATTTTGAATGAGGAATATTCTGAGGCATTAGTAACTTTACTCAGGATTCTATAATACACTAAATATCTAAAATCTATGAATTCAGCAATAGATAAAATTTTTCTTGTTTCTCTGATACAGTGAATTAATACAACATGTGGTGACAATTCCTTGGTTCAGACCATCTGCACGTTTGTGGACATGAACAGATAATGCACAAAACAAAAGCAAAACAAGAACAACAAACCACACAGCAACATTTGCAGATTGGAATTGGAGCCAGAAGACCAGAGGTGAAGATCCAGCCCCCCGTATTCATGAGCTATGAACTTTATATTGTTAAAAAGGGTAATATTTTCCTTGTTATCTCACAGGGTGGTTGCAAGGCATAAATCAGACAAATTCCTTTGTAAATTATAAAGCACTATAAAAATATAAGAACCATACAATTAGCATGCCATGAAACAAGTTGGAAACCTGTGAAGTTGAAACAAATTAGGTTAATAGATTTGTGTTTTGAAATAACTAACACTAATTTTAAAAGTTATTTTCAGTAAAAAGAAAAGCCTCACTAACTCTTAAATCAGTAAAGTTCAGTAGAGTGAGCATTTGTCGTGTGCCTTTTATGGGGCAGGAATGCAGCACCCTGAGCTAACAGCTATTGCCAATCTTCCTCTTTTTGCTTGAGGAAGATTTGCCCTGAGCTAACATCTGTGCCAATCTTCCTCTATTTTGTGTGTGGGTCACCACCACAGCATGGCCACCAATGTGCAGGTGTGTGTTCAGGAACCAAACCCAGGCCGCCAAAGCAGAGCATGCGAACTTAACCACTAAGCCACGGGGCCGGCCCCATGGGATGCAACATTTTTAAGATACAAATTCGGTTAAGATAGGAGGCTCAAAGTCTTTTGTGAAAGGCTCACTGGGGAAAGTGACATTTGGGCAAGAAAAGGAATTGGTGGCAAGAAATGGAGAGGACAGTGGAGGCAGAGAGAGCATGTGCAAAAGCACAGATTCAGGAAACAACCTAAGTGCCCATCAACAGATGAATGGAGAAAGAAGATGTGGTGTATATATACAATGGAATATACTCAGCCATAAAAAAGATGAAATCCTGCCATTTGTGGCAACATGGATGGACCTTGAGGGCATTATGCTAAGCAAATAGGTCAGATGGAGAAAGACAAATACTGTATGATTTCAGTCATATGTGGAAGATAAAACAGCAACAACAAGCAGCAAACAGATACAGAGAACAGACTGGTGGTTATCAGAGGAGAAGGGGGCGGGGGAGGGTTAAAGGGGTAGAGGGACACATTTGTATGGTGATGGATGGCAACTAGACTCTTGGTGGTGCACACGATGTAGTCTATACAGAAGTCAAAATATAATGATGTACACCTGAAATTTATATAATGTTATAAACCAATTTTACCTCAATAAAAAAGAAAAAAGAAACAGCATGGCTTGAGAGGGACAGGAGATAGAGGACTCCATCTGGGGGTGGAGAGATGAGCTGGAGAAGGAGAGAAGGGCTCCCAGGGTCTGGAATGCAATCTCAAGACAGGGAGCTTTATCCTGTAGACGACGTAGGCCGCTAAGCGGGAGGGTGGCCTGGTCACGTGGGGCACTGTAGGGGATAGATTAGAAGGCAGGAAGCCTCCTTGTTTTCTCGCTGTGCATTTTCGTCCTGTTGTACTATATGCATTTTGAGGACTTCCTAAAATGCCTTCTTATAGTGAGGTTCTGAAACAGTGCGGAATGCAATGGACTATAGAAGAAATAAACAAATATAAAAACAAACAAACAAATCCTGAGGCAGGGAAAGCAGGTTGGAGGTTAATACAATAGGCCAAACAACAGATGAGGAGGACGAAAGAGATCTGACAAGCTTTTAGAAGGTGACATCAACAGAATTTGATTGATGTGAAGTTCTGGCTGAAACAGTTGTACAGAAGGAGGCTTAGGTGAATGAATGCGTTCTGACGTCACCAGCCTGAAAGGGAAATATAGAGGAGCACGCTTAGTCGGGGGCAGAGATGAGGCACCTACACCAGCCTGGGGGTGAGGAAGTGGGAAGAGTCAGAAAAGCTTCCTGGGTGAGACAATGTGGGAGCAGAGTTAGCACTCAGTGGATCAAACCACCCCTTCTCTGATTGATTCTATGGATACATTTATGATTCTATAAAACTCCACGACCCTCAGGGATGTCTTTTGACTCCTAGATCACCAAGTAAACAGACTGATGAAGTTTACTAGCTGGACAGTAAATGTAGCTTTTCAGTGGCTGCTAAAACTGATTTCTTATTTAAGCTAATTTTAGAGGACATACTTGGTTAGTTTGGATTTTTAAAAAATTGTAAACCATCCTTCAACTTACGGATTTGTAATCTACCACTGCGCTGTGCTGAAGAATGGGGCTGGACATGCAGACTTTCTGCATGGCTGGAGAGACATAAACATGGAGAGACCTCCAAAATAAGCAGCTTCCCTGTGCTAAATTTTATTAGCCCCAATTAAAACATATCACTCTGAACCCTGAATGCATCACGTCATGGAAGATTCAGGTAGCCGTGTCTGTCATACCTTGGGTCTTCCAGACTGCATGTGGCACGTGCTATGATTCCTTTCCTGTCTCCTTTGCCAAACACTTGGAAAGATTTGTGCTCATCAGACTTGTGTTTCATGTGAGGCTAAGTGATAATTCAGCCCTTTTGATAGTGCAGTGATAATGATAATAATAATAATGGTACTAAGGGTATAGGGATGTTGTAAGGGTTAAATTAGATAATTCAAGTAAAGAATTTAGCATGGCGCCTGGTTCATGGTCATTACTATTATCCAGGAGTGTTGAGTTTAGTTACTGGCTCAGGGGTCATTGTCAGAGGCTGGAAGAGACCCTACAGGTTATCATGAAGAAGAATTTGTCTAAGTGGTGACTTGCAGTGACGTACAGAAGGACAGCAACCATTGTTTGAGAGAAACCTCCTTAAACGCGTTTTTTCCTACCTGTTGAGAGAAACAAGATCTAGCTGACTGTTCTGTGTAACCAAATGAAGGACCTTCAAAAACAGCCGTGGGTAGTTTGAGAACTTCCCGCAGGAATTGATCGTATCGTCCATAAACCATCACCCCGCTGGAGTCAGAAATCATTGAGAAAATATCTGATGGAAGGAAAAGGAAAGATATGCATTCATCAAGTAAACATTCTTCACCGTTTTAGTTCAACAGATCTGTTGCAAATAACAAAAAATGTAGCAGAATAAATAATTTTTTTATGAAAGAATAATATAAAAGCTAATTTTTATGCTGAAATATTCCTGGTATGCTGTTTTCTCTGGTGTCTTTTTGTATGTGATTCTGGCACATAGCATTAACTAGTAATTTGGATAAATTTGGCATAGTTTGATAAGAAAGAGAACATCACATTTTTATTTTGAAGTCAATTACGAACTCATATAATTCAATGGGGGTAATTTTTATATATGTGAGAAACAGGCTGATCTCATTTGAAACGCACATTGAGAATTTTACTACAATGTTGGGGTGTGTGTATCTCTCCAGCTAGCTATTTACCCATCTATATTATCACTAAAACTTTTGGGTTTGGGTTTAAGATATTGAAAAATGAAAGAGAATGGGGATAAGGTTGCAATGAAAGCTCTTGATTAACTTCCCACAGAAGCAGGAAACTTTCTATAAATCATAGTGCTCTGGGTGGAAGGCACTTGGTTTACGGGAAAGGGTCTTTCGACTCATGTAGTCAAGAGGAAGCCTGGCCTTGGGGGTGATCAGTGAGGTAAAGTCAGGGTTCCAGATTATTCTCAGCAGAGACTGTGGCTGCATTGAACGTCTGTTCTTCAGTTTCTCCCACTATGTGCACTTAATGAATATTAATGGCATAATTTCCCAAGGTACTTCATAATTCCCCTGTGGAAATCACTATTAGAATGAAAGGGTTTGCTATTAAATAGTTTGTCACCGTGCTAGATCGTAAGTAGCCCTGCACAGCTGCTGGGATAAACTGTTGTGAATTCAACGTGCTACCTCTGTCCATTCTGGGCTTAGCTTTTCAAGGTTAGAGGGTAATCTGGAAACATCGTTTTAACACCACAGTCAGACATTAAGCATGTTCCAGGCTTTTATTGGATTATGTTTTGAGCATGTGAATTGACTTTCATTTTCTTTAAATACTCCAGTTATAAAGGCTTTCTACTGTGTTTCAAATAGTTTATCAATTACGAGGCTACTGAAATTCTACCTGAGCAAGAAAAATTAATGTTGTTCTCATTCACTTTCACAATGTTGTTTACTTAGTGATTTTATCTCTGTTTTATTATAACTAGTCAAAAAAAAGTTACCAACAGCAAAAAAAAAAAGACTCTTATGTTATTTCAAATATGAAACTCAAGAATTTTGATTAAAAGAATGAAAAAGAAACCTAGGAAAAGTAAATAGACTTCCTTCTTAGAGCTGCCATCTTGTTTGCTTTTAGACAGGTTGATTAATCACGTGGGTCATTCTGATGATCTTCTAGGCTTGGATTTTCTAGGCCAGGGCACACTTTGAAAAGTAGCTTAGCCTTCTCAAATTTCCCCCCGAAATAATTTAGACCACATCTCTAAAGCAAAAGCAGAAGGAGTACCAGCAGCAACCTTGCACAAACTTGAAGCTAATTTTTCTTTTTTTTTTACTGAGGACGATAGGCCCTGAGCTAACATCTGTTGCCAATTTTCCTCATTTTGCTTGAGGAAGATTCACCCTGAACTAACACCTGTGTCAGTCTCCCTCTAATTTGTATGTGGGTCACAGCCACAGCATGGCCACTGTCGAGTGGTGTAGGTCTGAGGAGCACACTGAACTTCACCATGCTGAACTTAACCAACAGGCCACAGGGTCAGCCCCTTGAAGCTAACATTAAACTCATTTGTGCTGATGAAATTCTGCTAAGTAATAGCCAAACTAGGGCTAAGTTATTGGAACTAAAGTAAAGTGGCTGTTAAGGGTTTTTAAAAAGAAATGAGGGGACTTTGAGGAAGCAATCAAAATACGTGTTTGTACCTTAGTTCTAGGCTCTCTGTTATATACACATATGTATACGCTTACAATATATACTATATGTATATTTATATGAAATAGAGGGCTATTTCAAGAATTAAATTAGTTAAGAGATGAAAAGCACACAGATGTATGCTTGGCACCCAGTAGATGGTACACGAATGTTAGCTATTTTTATTGTTAATTTCATTTCACAGAATTTCCGTCATTTACTTCATATGTTTAGGCTTTGTCTCCTCAAAGGGATTGTTCTGTAAGGTTCCAAATCATATTCTAAACCGCATTTGTATTTCCTATAGCACCATACAATGATAGATTCTTTAGAAGAATTTACATTCATTGATTCATTAAACTAAAATGAACTTGGCACATACTAAACGTGTGAAATTGTACTGAGCAAAGAATATACAGAAAAATCAGGACACAGTTCTTGCCCTCTGGGAGGAGGATAGAGACATGCTTACATCATGCATCACGTGACATCATACATCATAACATGTGGTGTGAATATGGGAACAGTAGCGAGTGCAGGATGCAGCAAGAGCTCAGAGAGAGGGTTCCTAGAGGGAGGAGGGAGTCAAGGAAGATTTCCTTACAGAGATGACTTCCAAGCCATGTGGACATTTAGGACACAAAGGACAATTAGGGGATAGTCAGGTTTAGGAAATCAGATCAGGACATGCACAGGCACGCTCAAGAATGGTGTACTCAAGGGGCCAGCCCAGTGGCGCAGGAGTTAAGGTCACACATTCCCCTTCGGTGGCCTGGGGTTTGCCAGTTCGGATCCCGGGTGCAGACATGGCACCGCTTGGCATGCCATGCTGTGGCAGGTGTCCCACATATAAAGTGGAGGAAGATGGGCATGGATGTTAGCTCAGGGCCAGTCTTCCTTAGCAAAAAGAGGAGGATTGGCAGCAGATGTGAGCTCAGGGCTAATCTTCCTCAAAAAAAAAAACAAAGAACCTTAAAAAAAAAAAAAAGAATGGTGTACTCAAGGATCTTCATGTTCACTGTGCAGGGGCCTTGAGTGCACATAAGGGCACGGTGGGAGGAGAGGTGGAGATATGAAGAACGTCAATAGCTCTACTAAGGAGTTTAGATTGTGTCCAGAAGATATTGGGGAGATATCGAAGAATTCAAGGCAGGCCAGTGAGTTAGAAATATTACCCAGGGAGTAGGCATGGAGGCAGAGCAATTAGTTCAGTGGTAGAAACTCAAGCAACACGTGGTGTTTGCCATAATGCTAGTCTTTTAAACAAAACAAAACAAGCCCTGCCCAGAAGCTTTAGAACAGAACCCAACATTCCAGGCTTATGGCACTGGATTCAGAATTCCTTAAGATCCTTAGGACTCGCCAGAAGCCCCGAGGCAGAAGTATAAACAAGTGTCCCGACCCATTAAAACAACAGGCTATATCTGGACCAAGAACAATTTGACAGAAACAGTATATTAGGTCCATTTCCGTTTCCGTTTCCGTTGTCTGGTCCTATGACTGCAGGGGGCGCCCTCATGTTCTAGGCTGCCTGGAGGTACAGGATGAACATCCTGCATATTGGCTCCTGGAGGCTCTGAGTACTGGAAATTGTGGCACAACAGGGCGTTGTTGTCCCTTTTAATGTATTTTAAAGCAGTTTTAAAAACTCAGCTTTAAATTTTCTGCTTTCTTTTTTTTCTTTTTCTTTTTTTTTTTTGCTGAGGAAGATTGTCCCTGAGCTAACATCTGTTGCTAATCTTCTTTTTGCTTGTGGAAGACTTGCCCTGAGCTAACATCTGTGCCAATCTTCCTCTGTTTTGTATGTGGGATGCTGCTATGGCATGGCCGTCAACGAGTGGTGCAGGTCCATGGCTGGGAACTGAATCCGGGCCGCCAAAGCAAAGCGCACTGAGCTTAACCACTAGGACACAGGGCTGGCCCCTATTTTCTACTTTTTTGCTTTTTAAAATTTCTAATTTATTTTCAGCCAATTCCTCTTGCCCTGCACTTTCCAACATTAAGCAGCTAGTTGGAACAAATGAAGTATCATTTCATCCCTATGCACAAAAACAGAAAGACTGCCAACCAAGCACAGCTGGCATAAGGGCTTAAAGTGAATGGGAATTTAAAGAAGGCAAAACAAACCCCTCAAATCCTGAGAAATTCCATATCCTTTCATTTTACTTTTTCTTATTACAAAGCAATGCAGAAAATCATTACTTTGCCTGTTTTATCATTAAATGCAAGCCAGCAAAAGAAGACTAGAAAAAACACCCACCCTCCCACTCACTGAGAGTCAGCCACTGCTGTCTGTGGGCAGATTTGCTCATTCAGTCAATAGTTATCACTTTAACTAGAATTACTGGTGACTAAAAATATTCATTTCTCACTAATTAACATTTTGGAGAGGTTCTTCCAACCAAACTGCTTTTAACTAAATTGCTTTTGGTTGAATTGCTTTCAACCACGTTACCTGGAAACCACCACAACCATCTTCCTGGGATTAATCTACCAAGAGTGAGTCCTCAGTCAGAGACCTGGGGACACACAAGGCTGTGATTGCCATCCACTGTGCTGGGGGAGGGCAATGTGATATATTGTGCTCACACTGTCTGTTTTTCCACAGCATTTGTGGCACTGGGATGCCTATTCCTGCAGAACGGAGAGCTTAGTTCACCTCCAATGGGACTCATGCGTTTGGCGCTTCTTTCACTGGACGCAAGAAGATTTACCCTGACCACTAGCTAGCATGCGTGCTTTGCTCACTGATTGTGTGTCTTTCACTGGGTAATGGGATGGCGTGAGGAGAAAGCCCTGTAGCACTTACACTGTTTGCTTTGAATTCCTGGACTTGCAAGAGAACTGCAAAGATTTTGATAACTGCTAAAGATCCGCTCAAACCCTTAGTTATATCTTGAGCTTTGTAACTGTGCAGACATTGCTCGTTGTTTGCCTAATGACCATTCCCTTCATCTTTATTGGCTCCAAATTTCTTCCTGAGCTAAGGGAAAGCAGTGGCTCTTCCCAGCCCTGGAGGTGAGAGTGGGCTACTCCATGACCATCATGGTCATTCCTTTCCTGTTAGCAGTCATTGGTGTCACAATTGGTCTGTGATGCCAACCTGGGCAATGAGACTAAGGGCTGGGGGCCTCCGGAGTGGATGTGACTCCTGAAACTGCCATAGCCCTCTTTTCCTCCAGGAGAAGGATAAAATCCGACACTGAGGAAAGCTGAGTGGAAAGATGGACAACCCCTGGGTCCTTTACAGCACAGGATTAACCTGGTTCACACAAGGCTCCGTGGAGTCCTGAAGTGCAGAAAACGGTTTTTCTCAGTTTTCCTCAAACTTATTTTACTATGGCACCCCTTTACCCAAGTTCTTATTAAGAGAACATTGAATAAGCATTTGGAAATGTTTTCTAGGACTATTTTTTTAAACATTTATCTAATGTCCTCAGTGTAAGTGGCCAATGGTGACCTGGGGTCAGCAGGCAAGGCCCTCCCTCAGGAGTTTCTTCCTCTGCCGTGGTCCATTTTACTAGACTTTCTCTTTCCAGCCTAACCCAGAAGGAAATGCCTCCTGGATTACTCTGAAGCTATTTTTTTAAAAAGGGACAGGGGTTCCTCCACCTTCTAATTCAGCTATTATTGTCAATCAAGCCTTGAAGTAGATAGTTGTAATTTTTCTACATCTTTCAGGTTAACTAAAGAAAAACTAAACTGATCCTCATAAGGTCTGCATGGGTTTCTCTGAATCTTGACTGCATTTGGTTATTCCATGAATGGAAGTTCCTGGAAGTGAGGGAGGATGTGTGGTTAAGTGGGGCTTCTGTGTATCTCCCACTTTTCTGCTGGTCCAATGATGTCACTACCTTGGAGCACGTCTGGGGTAATTACAAAGGAACAAAGTTTTTTTCTGCATCTTGCTTCACTCTTCCCCTTTTGGTGCAGCAAGAAGCAAGAGATCACGCCCAGAAGCTGACAGGCAGCAGGGGAGAAAAGAGCTTGGAGGCTGTGAGTCACAGATGGTGTAGCTAGGAGGGACCCTAGCGGTATCTAACAAAATCTCCAAAGTTAGGATGGAGAAGGGAGCTGAGGACTAAGAAGTGAAGTGACTTCCACAGGATAACTCAGCAAATTAGTCACATATCTGGGCTTACATGTGGGACTCCCAATCCCATGACAGTGCTCTTTCTAACACAGTATTATAACCAAAACTCCTGTAGTTAGGGTAAGGGAGAAGGTTAAATGGAAGCTTTTCTTTTAAACAGTAGCATATACATCATTTTAAAATAGTTAGAAATAAAAATTCTTGCCCATACCCCCACCCTAGGCCTTCTGAATCAGAAATCCTGGGAATGGGACGCAGAAATCTGTGTTTTAAAAAGCCATTCACGTGATTCTATACATCCTAAAATTTGAGACCCATGGGTGTAGGGGGAAAAAGTCAGAGTTCAGATCCTGGTACCATCTTAGCTATGTGATTTACTTTACTCTGACTTTCTGAGTCTCAGCTTCTTTATCTAAAACAAACAACAAACAAAAACATCTTAGCTGTTTCGTTGGTTAAAAAACTCTGCCCCATTTGGTGACAAGATGTACATAAAAGGCCCATAATTTCTCAATGCACCTTAGCTATCATATGTTTATTGGCATCCAGTTAATTCTCAGTCAATAGTCTCTATGCAGTTCCCATGCCTATACCCTGGCGATGTCTACCTCGGAAGCTTTGGGGTTCCCAGGGAGTTGCACAGCACTGGCTGAGAAGAATGAGGAAAGGTTCTAGGAGATTTGGCTTTAGATTACCTAAAAAAGGAAGGCTGCCCAACATGGCCTTCACGTCCCTGTGACCATGGACTTACGCCTGTGAGGCAGTGCAGCCCAACGAACCTGAAAGAATGTATATCTTGCCTTAATACCACAAGCAGTCTAGTTGGTGATACTCAACAGGTTATAAATAATAATAATGCATAAATAGAAGGAAATATGCATTTCATTAACATTATCTAATATGAAAATATTTCTATGACAAAATCCAAAGATCAATGAAGATCATATTTCAAACTCTCATCAAATGAGGAAAGTCACAACTGGGCAGGGGACATGGCAGGCATGGAGGAGAGGAAAATGTGGTACACAGGAGGGGTAAGCAAAGAGAGAGACACCAAGAATAACTTACATCTTAATTTGTCCATGATCTTCCCTCCACACAACGTGGCTAAAGCCATTTTGACAGCAAATACTGAAATTTTACCATGGCCTTCCCTGTTTAATAAGAATAGAAAAACAAAAAGATGTCATTTGGAGAACTTCCAATAGCGAGGTTTGACATTTCCTGTTCTGTCAAAATCATAGGACACTGTAGCTGCATGCATTATGTGAACACATCCATTTCAGAAAAGGTTGTGAAAACAATTTGACACACATTTCTGGAAATCTCTCTAGTCAATGTTTCCTTTTTTCAAGAGATAGCATAATCTTCAAGTTATTTCTTGTGTATGCCATTTGCTGAAAGCATGGAGTGGAAGCCAGAGGGATATTTAACTATGGATTAAAATGACAGAACATGCTTTTCACTGTGTGTTTCACAAAATAATTTTATGCATGATGATTCCACAGTCTCTATAATTTATTTAAACAAGTCTTCAGAAAAGTCTACCTTTTTTTTTTTGTCAGAGAATTCCTGAATTTGGTTAGGGTAACTATGGGTAACTCTTTCTTTCAACCATCATTTCCTACCCACAAGCCAACTGTGTTTATATGATACATTTACTTTTCAAAGGGGGTTGCTATTTCAGGGGCCAGAGTAGGAGTTTTGTTTGAATAGTTCTCCTTCTACCTAAATGACACCAGAGCTGCCAAGTTTTCATTGATTCAGGAAGTATAACTAACTTGTCCTTCGCAAAATGTGATATAAAGGGCATACTGTAAGAAATATAATATTTCAGCTAAATGATTTTCCAGTTGGAATAAACTGTTTCTTCTTATATCCTTGGGATCAGAAAGTGTACCACATTAGTAATTCATTTCTTTGAGAGTTGCTACTCTTAAGAATGATCAAAGAGGTATTTAAAATAATAATGTGGCTGAAAGGTAAGTAAAGTCTGTATTGACAAGGGTTTAGTATATAGAATAAGTCATTTATATGAGCAAGATTCATACATCTGACATATTAGAAGAATAAGACACAATCAATGTTTCTTTGTTCCTTACTAGACTCCAGAGAGAGATCATTTATTACTCCTCTTTGTTGCTGTCATTCTCAGCACAGTACCTGAAAAACAGCTAGCCAGAATGCAAAACTGACTGAACCCTATGCTAGTGGCTCTCCCATTTATATTTCTAAGCCTGAGCGCCAGACATACGTCATTATTTATTGGAAATCTTCACTTGCATGCCCCATGTCAAACCAAGTATGTTCAAAGTAGAACTCACTATCTTTCCAAAGCCCTCCCGTAAGACTCAGACCCCCCACAACTCGTCTGCTCTTCCTCCTACAGTCCCTCTTCTGGTTGTCAGAATCACCATGCACCTAGTTACCCAAAAATGAAGCCTGGCACGGAGGTCACCCTTGACTTTTTGCTCTTCCTCAATTAACTACCACCCTGAACAAATGCTGAAGGACTCAAATATATCTCTTAACTGTATATTAAACCCGTTCCCTTCTGACTGCCATTGCTTCCAGCAGCTCTTGCTCTGACACCGTAATAACTTCTTAAATGATCTCTTGGTTTGCACACTTCTATCACAAATTTACCCTATTATTTCATGATTTAGAACCCTCTTGCCTCCGTTTGCCTACAGGATATAGTTCAACTTTGTCTGTCCTCTCCTGTCTCATCTGCTACCATTTCTGTTGCACTCCACACCAAAGTCCCACTGTTTAATGCCCCTGCCCTTCCCACCACAGTCTGCCCAGGACTGTCCCATCCATTCATCAAGACTCAGCTCAACGTCATCATTCGCTCTGCTCTGAGACCAGCGTTCCCCCTGGATGTGGAGGCAATCACTTTTCCCTTCACTTTTACTATTATTTGGCATCTAGCACACTGAGTGACCTTGATTTATTTATTTATGCGTCTGCATATGACTCGATTCCACACGGTGGGATCCTTGAGGGAAGAGACCATGTCTTCTGAATTTGTTGAAATCCCAGTGCCTTGTACTTTGTCTCACACAGACTTAGTGAACAACACATTTCTTATATTAATGAAGGACTATTAATCATTATAATAGGTGCCCCTAGAATTTTGAATTACCACTCATTAAGTTGTTTACTAATTTCAGAGCAGGGAGTTATAATAAAAATGCAATGATTTTTGTAAAAGCCACCTCATTTAAATTTATTCCATGTCCCCTGCATTCCCAATTGCATGGATAAATGGAAGTATCAAAAATTTTATTTTAGGAAATAACTATGTTCTTTTCCTAAGCTGAAACATGGTTCAAATAATGAGAAAAGGAAACTCCACGAAGTATGGAAGAATAGGAATAACATAGTGATAAGGCAGTTTTCAAAATGCAAAGAAATTAAGGAGCATTATATGTGAGACTTCAAGGGCAAGAGAAGTTTCTTTCAATGAATCAGAGAGAACAGTTTAACTCAAGAAAGAGGATAGACCACAGATGACGCTGGAACAGAGTTCTCCAAAGGACGCAATGATGCTCACAGGCGAATTCTTAAACCTTAGCTCTTAATGAAGAAGATCACAGGGAGATGGTCAGTCCTGTACTGTTCCTGGAAATGCAAGATTAATGCTATTAACTCCAACAGCGGTTGTATCAGAGCTATTCTGCCAAATTGACACAATAAATCTAGATAAATCACCAACTGGAGGGCAGCTCAATGAGAGTTTTGCAGGAACTCAAGGGTGAAATTAGGCCACTGGAATCCATTGTCATGCAAGCTACTGTGCCAGATTGCAAATGTGACCCCTGTCATGAAGAAGGATTCGAGGGGGTATGCAGGAATGTAGCTCATGGTGTAAGTACACCAACATTGGGTGAGTTTAGCTCTTGCTCAGTCCCAGTACTGGAGAAACCTTGAAGGAGGTTAAGGTGTAAGTAGAGATGACTGACTCCACAATGGAGAGTGGGGATCCAAGCACTTAAATGCAAATAGATCTTTTCAAAGAACATTTTCAGTAGATATAACAGGCTGAAGAGAAGTGGGAGAAGAGAAACATTTTCTAAGGCCATACCAGATTCCATACCAAAAGGCCATTATTTAAACAAAGTCACTTTGGGATCGGGGCTCTATTGTTTTGTGAAAAAAGAACTGGCATTATCAAAGGAAGCAAGGAGTGGGGAGAAGTTGGTACACCCATGGAGAGGTGTAAGGGTTCATGAGGAGTCGTCCCTAGTCAGGGCAGTTTGATTCACGAACAGTCCGTGAAATGCCTTAAGTGTCTAGAAAGTGGAAAGTCAAGCTCATTAGAATGGATGACAGGAAGCTCCCAGGAGCCTTGTGCAAATGAGCAGGAAAGCGGCATATTGTTCCAAAGTGAGTCTCTACAGGCAATGCCTCTAGGAGTAAAGCAGTAAAACCACACAAACGGAATGCTGGCTGTCGGCCACAGCTCAGGAAGTGGATCTGCCAGAGTGTGCTGAGGATGACAAACGTAGATTGACTTTAATGCTGCAGGCCAGACAGCATTGGAATGGGCAACACCAGGAAAAGCACTAGAAAAAGACTAAGCTCTTGTCTGGCTTTTTTTGTTTTTTTTTTGAGGAAGATTAGCCCTGAGCTAACATCTGCTGCCTATCCTCCTCTTTGTTGGCTGAGGAAGACTGGCCCTGAGCTAACATCAGTGCCAATCTTCCTCTACTTTGTTTGTGGGATGCTGCCACAGCATAGCTTGATGAGTGGTGTGTAGGTCTGTGCCCAGGATCCAAACCCACAAACCCAAGGTCGCTGAAGCAGAGCATGTGAACTTAATCGCTATGTCACCAGGCTGGGCCCTGCATAATACTCGTTTTACTCTTTTTTTCCCCACTATTTGTTTTTTGGCATAATGGAATATATTCCATTTTTAAGCCAATTATCCTGAAGCTTTTGCCTATGCAAATTTTACTTTCTTGTTCTGGTTTGATGTCAAAAAATACCCAATTAAATTGTTATATTGGTATTTCATTAATACCTAAAGGGTATTTAAGAGAACCAGCAAATTTCAAAGGTACAAACTGAAATTGCTTCATAAATCAATGTTTCTTTAAATCTTTTATTTCCCTTTATACTTTGGTTTCTCACTCTGAAAATTTTCCTAAGGGGTGACCGATTGAAAATGGAAACAGGGAAGCACTCATCCTTTGGCTAACATATACATGGAGATTTGTAGAGTGTCTGTCTTAAAAACACTGATTACTTCAAAGTTTGACTCCATCATAAAAAGTGAGGAACTGTATTATGTTGGGCTGAGTTTTCTATGAAGAGACAAGCTGATTGCTTCTAACTAAGAAGATAGTACTTTCAGGGAAAAGTTGTGTGGGAGAAGAAACCTGCTTTTGACAAGAAAGAAAAGCAACAAATAGACATTGATAGGTCTGGGGTGCTGGGCTGAACTCGGAACAGAATGTACATTTTCCCCAAATTGCTAACAGAGTTTCCTGTTTGAAGCTGCAAAATCCCATGATAAATTTCATGTCCTCAAAAGTGAGATTTGAATTCTGACTGATTCTTTTTTGAACAGACTGAACGAATTATTCTCTATTTGAGAGTACTAAAACCAGAAGCTCTTCTTTTACCAACATATTTTACAAAAACATTTGGTAAGCATTTTTACAAGCAAAGGCACAGTGCTCAGACTGCTCTTTCTCACACGTTTTAGTGGCTTAATTAACTGAGAGAATTACTTCCTCTTCTGGCTTCCACAACATGCCTCTATCATAACCCGTTCCTTTAGCAGGGAATTATTTTGTTCACGTGGATCACTCAATAGGTATTTATTGGCAATGCCTCAGAGGTTGGGGATATTTGCTCATAGTCCATTGGGAAGAAAGAGTCAAAAACAGTTAATTTTAATGCAATGCCTTTTTACAAAGGGCAGGGACCTCATCTTATTCATCTTTCATCCTCAGCCTAGCATAGCAATTAGCATCTGGTAAGCTCTTACTATATATTAGTTAAATTAATGAATGCACAAGTGAAAAGAAACTTTCTGATTAATCACTTAAGTTTTACATTGAGAAATGCTAAATTTTTGAGTAAAATTACAAAGATTGACTTTATGGCCCTTAATATTAGATTGTACAGTCATGTGATACCT